CATCTGGTTGAATTAAGTAGAACCATTTCATGTCAGAGGAAAAGTACAAAGAGAAGGAAATTGCCAATGAAGTAATAGACATGAACTGCAGAGCTAAGAGCTAACATACCTAATCTAAACAATAGGTAGCTGGAAGGAAAAAGAAAACAAGTAGAAAAAGTGGGTAAGTAATAGAAGGAAATGTCAATGAGCTGCAGAAAGACCCGAGTGTGTATTAAAACTGCAGAGTCCAGTAGGGTCATTACACAGGAAACTAAAAGATCCTGGTTTGTCCTGTAAGGTTCTCAAATTCCAAGAATAAGGGCAATAATTTAAAAACCTTACAAGCTTTCTCATAGAAAAGTTACTTAACAAAGGGGAGAGAGAGAGAGAGAGAGAGAGCAATGTCAAAACTTCCCATCTGTAACCTGCTAAGGATTACTGAATAGTATCTTTAGTTTTATGGGTTGGAAAAAGACTGCAACTGAGAGCTCCTGTGTTTCCAAAGATGTCATCTATATGTTAAGGCCAGAAAGATATTTATTCATTTCATTACTGTATATTGAGTATCTAATTTGTGCTAGGTGCTCTTCTAGTCTAAGGATATGGCAACTTCCATACTGAAGGAAAAATTTGGTAATAATCTTGTACTAAACATTTTTTTTTTGTTTAATCCCTTCTTCAAATTTAAATGATAATCTTGCTGGATAAAGTAATATTCGTTCGAGGCCCTTCCGCTTCATTGCATTAAACACATCATGCCACTCCCTTCTGTCCTGTATGCACTGAACATTTTTAAAACAGATTCTCAAATTTCAGCAAAGCCCAGGATTTGGAAGGGGTGGTTGAGAAGCACTGAGAACAGTTAATAAAATCATGGAAGTTTCACCTAGGTGTGAGGTAGGTTATGACTGTTATGTTGGAAAAAGTATAATTGTTAGTTAAGAATGAGAAAGTAACCACTAAAGTGCCAAGTTAACATGGGGAAAAAATAACAAACAAATATGATGTAAAGAGGGAAATAAAATAAATATGAAACTGTATGAGAGCAGCAGCTTTATAATGAGCCAGCTCGTGGATGGCAGAGTTCAGTCCCTGGGTGTCACTGTTGAGCTGCTGGGAAGCTGCCCTCGAAGGCTGTTCTGTGTCTCAACTACTGATTACATGAAATGATTTCCGTATTTTTTAAGCTACTTTGAGTTGAGTTTTTAAATTCTGTGTAAAGCATCCTAATTAGCTGTGCCCTGTTTCATAGGTGAGGGCACTGAGGCTCCGAGAAGGCCCAAACCTAAGAGAATGAGCTCGGGAGGAGCAAACCACAGCGGGCTTTTGGGAATTTGCAGGCCTAGACAATTTCATAAGTAACCGATTTAGCAGATCCAAGGAAGCGGAAACCTAGGCCGTCTGTGTTTGTTTTTTATCCCAGAATCCGTAAAGCTCTCAAAAAGTGCCACCGCCAGATACCTACAGAAGTAGAGATGAAGTGAAGTAAGATCGGGAGGGTTGTTTGAAAAATGTGTTTATGAAGTGATGTGACCTCACATCCTTTCCCTCCGTCCAAGATGCCTCTTGCCCACCCCAGCAGAGGAGGGAGGGTTATTCTCCAGAGAGAGTAAAATAGAGGGTTTCTGACCATGGCCACTTCAAGGGGCAGCGGGTGGCGTGAGGATGGGGCGAGTGCTTGCAGACTCCCTTCACCTGGGCCAGCCGAGCCTTGTGCCCGAGGAGGGGAGCCCCACAGATGCTGGCAGTAGGGTGTCCGTGAGAGCCCAGCCAGATTCTGGACAGGGTCTCGCTCTGGTCAAGTGCCTGCACACAAGGTTGAGTTTCAAATCAGCATTTGTCATGCTTCATTCGTAAATGCAAGGCAGACAGTGAATTTCAGCAGACTTCTGAAGAAAGCCTCCCGCCTGAGAGGAGAGGTCAGACGGACGCGCACGGCCGGCAAGGTGTGAAAATGACCCTGCTGCCCCCAGAGAGGAGACTGCATTCGTGATAAAGCCAATGATTCCATTAGGTGGAACATCTAGTGGACGGAAAGGGATGCTTGACATTTAGAAAGAATAACATAGCTGAATAGATAACTCCTAGAAAATAAGTCAAAATGAAAAAAATAGGGAAAACAGGAGAAAAGTTAATCTTAGAGAAAGAGTTCAGGCAACCTAACATCCAACTAACGGGAATTGCAAATGGACAGAGGAGAGAAAACAGGATGAAGAAAATGAAAAAATCAAGAACAGTTCTTTAAGGTCATGAATTTGGAGGCTGACAGGACTAGCACCCGACACGTGCATGGAAGTGGGTGCAGGCGAGAACGCTGGAGACGGCAGGGGCTCCAGCCTCACAGGAGATTGAGAGGCGGTGCCTGTGCAGAGGGACAGCAAGGGGAGCGTAGACCTCTCAAAAGCACTGTTTGACAACGAAGTGATGGCTCACAATTCTAGGAAAATTCGTTTTGACCTAGCTTTTTATATTTAACCAGACCGTAATTTAATTTAAGAACAAAGGTAAAATATTCAGACTTGTATTGTCTCAAAACATTTACCTCCCATTCACCTTTTCTTGGCAAGCTACTGGAGGATGTGCACTGCTGCAATAAGGGAGCAAACAAGGAAGAAAAGGCTGCGTAGGGAATGGGACGCATCCCAGGAGAGAAAAGGAGGGTGGTCCAGGGGGACAATGTGCACTAGAAACAGAGCAGCCAGTCCAGACCTGCGCAGGTTGAAGACTCTAGGAGAAATTTCTTCAGGAGAATGGAAAATGGATAGTATAACTGAGAAGTTTGAAAACCAAAAGAAAGACTTTAGAAGGAAAGGTTGGCTTTGAATTAATGATAAGAACATAGAAAACTAAGCAAACAAATCACTAATTCTGGAGGTGGGAAAAATAATATTATAGAAGACAGGAAAGCTAATTATAGTTCATTACATGGATAAACAGTGGAAGGCATTTCTGTTGTGATAATATAGACATTGAATCCTGATCTAACTAAGATCACCAACATGACCACATTGAGGGGAAGGGAGAGAATAAAAAGATGTGTGGCTGACGAGGCTTAAATCCTCATCTTCCATAGTAGAAAGGTAATGGTTAATGCATAAAGCTGGAAAACCAAGAAATAGTGAAGGAAGTTTTTTATTTATTGGTAGGAAGGCAAATACTGAAAGAATCAGCTGAGTGACTTTGAAGGGCCGTCTTTGGGGAGGTGGAATCGGGAGGAAGGAAAGCACAGTAGCAAACTTGTGCAGGTATTTTTTTTACACTTGGAATTATGTGCATGATTCATATTGAAAATGATAAAATTTCTTAAAAATCACTTAAAGTTAAGACAACTTAAAGTGAAGTTTATCAGCTATTAAATTATACTGAATACAAATACTTTATTTTACTAAATGTGTAAATGGACTGAATTTCTGTTAAGGAACAGAGCCTCCGAGATTGGGTTATTCAACACATTTACATTTTTGCTACAAGCATCTATCATCTTTTCTTCTAGGACAGCACCAGATTTGACTTTCTTGTTTCTCCTTGTTCTGTCCCATCTGTGGAACTGTTTGTCTCAAAGTTCTGTGCTTCCCCTAGAATTGAAATTTGACTCTAAGTTAGGCCAATAGGACGGTTGCTCCCTGGAATTTTATTCTTGATCATAGCAACAGAGAGACTGAAAATGATTGGGACTGAGTCACCCCAGCTGTGACAGGCTGTGGGGACTGAGCATCTGTTCTGCCACTTGGAGCTCCCAGGTGCTTGGTTCCTCTCTTCTCTTTACTGGAAAGTTTTCCAGCTGCTTCTCTCTCTTTCATGAATTCCTGTCCTTGTTTAACTGATCAGAGTCAATTTCAGTTGTAACCAGCAAACTCCAACTGCTATAGGTTAAACCTCAAAAAGATTCAGCTGATGTGTATACCTTTAATTTTAAACTTTTCTGTTTCTCTTAATGTAAGTCAGTAAGGCAGGTATAGACAAAAAAAGTAGTAAAGTCCATGTGACAGAATTTAAGTTGAAAAACATTAAAGAGGTTCATTATATAAGGATAAAAGGTGTGATTCCAAAGATGTAACAATCTTATAGGAAACAAAAAAAAATTTAGCAGACAAATACAAATGCATAATAAAAAAGTTCTTAAAAATTGAGAGCCTAATCAATCAAAGAACATTTGTAGTGGGGGATTTTAATTTATCCTTTTCAAAATTTAACAGGTAAAATAGGAAGAACATGGAGATAACCATTAGAAAAACAAGCGGAAAATACGAATAGGGAAAATCCACATGATAAACATGAAAGGGTGCTCAACCACATTTAGGGAAATACATGTTGAAATAACAGTAGGAAAACATTTGCTATCATATTGGCATAATTGAAGAGTTATAACATTCAGTGCTAAGGAAGATAGTGGAAAATAAGTACTTTAAAAAGCTATAGATGGAAATTATTGCAATAAGTTACAATATTTGGAGGGACCTAACCTTTAAATCTCTTTAAACTGAATGTTCACACCCTTTGACTCAGCAGTCTGAATGTTGGGAATCTGGTATACAGAAATAATAGAGCCAAAATGTATTGGGTGTGTATACAAAATGTTCATTGCAACATTGCTTGTAGTTGCAAAAAATAGAGGAAAACCTGCAAGTCACTGTAGAGAAAACGGAAGTTCCATGGCCAGGGTTCTCACCTACCCAGGTCTGCTTGCCCACTGCGCATGTGCAGTGCTGGCAGGCACAGGCTCACACGCGTATGGCAGTGGGCTCTAGTGCTCAGGGCTGCGAGGTGGCACAGAGGCAAATAAGAATTTTATCAAAGTAAGACATTTCCTAGGAAACATGTAGTATTCCAAGAAGAACTTGAAAGTTTTAAGTGGTAAAGAAATGGATATACTCTTCTATGAATCATAGCAGTGTTTGTTTTTATTCTCAGTGATCAGGATTTTCAATGTGTTATTTTATGTGTTAATTAAATATGTGGGCTATTTGTTCTGTACTATCAGGGGTCCTGTTGTCCTTCTAAAATATTTTTGCTTTCAGTAGGACTATCTTCATCAGTGGAATACAATATAACAGAGTTGGAACAGGAACTTGAAAATGTAAAGACTTTAAAGACAAAACTAGGTATTGTACATTTTTTCCTTAACTTGTATTAGTTTCATTTCTTATTAAAGACTTTATTGTAGTCTGAAATATTTTAAAATTATGAAATCTTCATGCTAAAAGTTTTCAATCTGTCCAAAGCCATTGATAAAGAGTATCTTATAGTTTAGGGAGAGGATAAGCATGTATTCATTGACATTTTTTTTGTATGTATGCAAAATGACTTCACAGATGCTCACGTTCAAATACGTTGCTCTAATGTGTCTTCAGTGCCTCCTTTCTGTCACATGATCTTCCGTCATCCTTATCTTTTCATGGGTCTTTTTTTCTCTTTGCTTTAAAGGTGTCCTTTTTTTATCACTGAGACAGTTTGGTGATGGTGTTCCTTAGAGTAGTTTTCTTTATGTTTCTTGCTCTTTGGTTTGAGTGTCAGGTCTCAGAATTTGTAGTTTTCATGTAATTTGGAAAATTTGGGGCCGTTTTTGAAATATTTTTCTTTTCCTCTCTCTGCCCCCTTTTCAGGGACTCCACTTCTGTGTACATTAGCCCACTTGAAGTTGCCTTATAACTCAAGAATGTTCTTTTATTTTTTAAGCAACCTTGAGAATCTTACGTTGTTGGGTGCTGCTATTTTTCTATTACTGTAAGTGAGGACCTTTGTTGGTTCTTACTTGGGATACTTACTTGTTAGGCTGGACCAAAGCATTTCATGTGGGGCTGATTGTTTCCTATCACCGAGTTAAGACTATTCTAAGTGCTCTATCCAATGAAATGCTGTTGATTGACGAGGTTTTGTACCGTCTGGTCGGGAGCAGGCACTGTTCTTCACCCTTTGTGATTGTGGATACTGTTCCTCCAGTCTGTTTGGGTGTCTCTGTCGTCAGCTGTGCATGGTGTCTGCACATACCTGAGCTGATGACCACCCTTCTGAAGACTCAAGGGTGACCCTTTGCAGATCCTTGGGGTTCTTTCTCTGTGCACCAGTCTTCTCTCTGGCCCTTTGCTCTGTAAAATCCAGATCACTTGCTCTCCCCAGACTTCCATCTCATGTCCTCAACTCAAGGGATGAGCTGGGCTCTGCTTGGGCTCCCCTCCCTGCACCGTGGCTGGGAAACTCTCTCAGGACAGTAAGCGTGCAGCCACTGGGCTTGCGTTCTTGGTCTCCTGTTGCTTAGAGGCCATTGTCCTTCCATTATCACATGTCCAGTATCTTGAAAATTGTTTCAGATGTATATTTTTTTTGATTTCTTAATTGTTTCAGGCTGGATGGTAAATCTGGGCCCTATTGTTACTCCATTTTCAGAAGTGGAAGTCCAGTATTATGTTGTTGAGAATCATATATGTTGTTTATTCATTTTCATTATTATAGAACATATATTGCCTAAATTACTTTATTCATTCTTCTGTTAATGGATATTTGATAGGTTTCCAGTTTTTTGCTATTATTAATAATATTGCTGTAAACATTCTTCTACATATCTCTTGGTACATTTTTTTTCAGAGTACATAGTAGAAGTGGAATAACAGGATCATTGAGTATGTGCATATACAGCTTTTTTGGGTAATGTGAAACTGTTTTCCCAGGTAGTTGTATCATTTGCATTCCTGCTAGGCATGGGTAGGACTACCTGTCGTGTCACATTATTGTCAACAGTCAACAGTGTTGGACTTCTAAATTCTTACTGTTTTAGCAGATGTGAAATGGTTTTTATTGATGTTTTAACTTGCATGTCCCTGATTTGTATTTCCAGTATTCATTCATTTAGCTTCTGCTTGAAAAACATCTGTTCGTGTTTCATTTAGTGCAAGCTTCCTGGCAATGAATTCTGTCAGTTTTTGTTTATCTGAAAACTTAACTTTGCCTTCCTATTTATAGGGCATTTTACAGAATTTACAAATCTATCTGGTAGTTTTCAACATTATTAAGATGTTATTTCAGTGTCTCCTGGTTTCTAATTAAAAGTTGTATTGTTGCTGTTTTGAAGGACTTTTTCATATTTTCTTTTTATCCTTGTTTAGCAATTGTGTGCTGCTATGCTTAGGTTTGGTTTACTTTGTATTTATCCTTCTTGGGATCTTTGGCACTTACAGAGTATGTGGCTTACCGTCTTTCATCCATTTGGGAAATGTTGGTCATTATCTAATCAAACATGGCTTCTGCTCATTCTTCTAATTTCCTTAGACACCAGCTGTACACATGCTGTACCTTTTCACTCTTATGTTCTTTTCTGTATTTTCTCTCCCATTTTATTTGCATGTTTCAGTCTGTGATATTTTCTACTGACCTCTTTTCCATTTCATTGTCTTTTCAGCTATGTCATAACTGTCATTAAAACTACCTGCTGAACTCTTAATTTCAGTTATGATATTTTTCCATTTGATTATTTTTCTAGATTCAAATTGTGACATTCACCTTATCTTGTCACTTAATCTTATTGGACATATTAGTCATTTTAAGGCCTCTTTCTAATAGGTCCAATATCTGGTGCTGTTGTCTTTCTTCTCTGCCTTATTTCCAGATAATGTTTGATTGAATCTGAAAACTACTTACACAAAATTGTAGAAACTCTGGGTATTGTTTTCTCTTTGAGAAGATTTACTTTTGCTTCTGTTCAACAGCTAGAGAAGGGGCAGATCGGCCTGGCCTGTCTGGGCTCGAGGGCATTGGAAGCTGGGTGGGCCTTCCTGAGGCCCTCTGTGCGGTTGGGCTCTGCCCCTCTGGCGGAACTTCCCTTTGGCCCTGCCTGAGGGCCTGCGTGCTCAGTCCTGACCATGGCCCCGTCTGCCTCATCAACACCGAGTTCTAGTTTCCACCTCTCGAGATACCAGCTGGCGGAAGTTTTGCTGGGCTCCTCTGCCTCTTGGCTGCCCTTCCCTGTCCAGTCCCTTGGCCCTTCTGCCTTGGGGGGAAGGCAGCTGAATGTCAGGCTACCCTCTTTCCTCTCTCCTCTTCTCTATGGCCACGGTCTCTCAGATTCTGGCTGCCTGGGTAGCCCCGAACTCCAAGGTTGGTCTCTCTAGCTCTGTGGAGTTCGCCGAAAGCTTTACTTCAGCATCATGTTCTTTTACCCACTGCTTTCTCCTTGATTTCTCCGCCCTGTGAGTCCCAGTTATGCACAGTGTGGGGAAAGGCAGACAGGAACCTCACCACAATCTACTGCACAGAGTATTGCCTCTCAGTTTCCACAGCCATGGTAGCTTTTTGATACCTTTGTACAGATTAAAAAAAAAATTAAGTTAATCCTTCTTTTCCATTTGTTCATGTTGTGAGGATTGGTATAACCTGAGATAGACCAGTGTAGCTAGAAGTTGGGGTTTGCTTCTAGCCTTTGGTAAACTGGAGGTGTTTGTAAACTGGGAAAGAAATTAGGGATATGGAATTAGAGGGGATTTTTACTCATGTTACATTATTCATTCACATCTATGTCAAAATGTAAATCTGTGTCAAATAACAAATATTTCTATATTTTCTGAGTAAGCTGTATATTAACAATACATTTCATTAACAAATGAAATGTCCTTATAGAACTGAAATTTTTTATAAGGTATGATTGATATACACTCTTATGAAGGTTTCACATGAAAAAACAATGTGGCTACTACATTCACCCATATTATCGGCCCCCACCCATACCCCAGTGCAGTCACTGTCCATCAGTGCAGCAAGATGCCACAGATCCACTATGTCCCTTCTCTGTGCTACACTGTTCTCCCTGTGATCCCCCACACCATGTGTGCTAAACATAATACCCCTCAGTCTCCTTATAGAGCTAAAATTTAAGTGTCATAGGGTCGAGCTGTTTATTTAGTAGCAAACTGATTTTAAAGACTCATTTTTATTGTTTGTGGAAGAAAAGGAAAAATAATTTGTTTTTTGAAAAAAATTCTGTAAAATAATACATACTGGTTATAATTGTAAGGAATGAAAATGTGAATCTAGAGAGAATTTTTGAAAATTACTGAAATCCCTTGTTGTGTCTTGTTTTCCCTTCTAACAGAGAGGAGGAAAAGGGCTTCGGCCTGGGAACGGAACTTGGTGTTCCCCGCTGTTATGGTTCTCCTCCTTACCCAGACGGTAAGGATCCGCTTCCTAGTTAAACAAAGCAGACTATTTTTTATTTACTTTAGTATTTAAGTATGGCAACTCCCTCAGCTACATGGTGTCAGATAAACTGGTTCTATCAACAGGATTAAAATCCATCTATGTCTTTATTTATAAAATCTCAGTAGAGCAAAAATGGAAATTAATGGTAATTTTTAAAAGCTCCTCTAGATTATCTATTTCCTCATGACAGCAGGAAATTCATTCTTTTGCTTTGCTGAAAATTGAGAGAAAAGGTTGCAAATACTGTGCTCCACACTCTTTAATAGGATAAAAACTACATTTTTAAATTAGCTCTGCTAACATTTTGACCACTTTTTAAATTTGTGGAGTCGTGGTTTCCAGTTGGTGAAATCAGTCAGTAAAGGGATCTGTATTACTGGCTTTTGTCACGAACTTTGAAATTATAGTAATTTGCAGAATCTTTTAGAATTTATTCTGGAGTTCTTGTAGATAGTCTGATTACTTTAGGTTCATAGGAAGGATTTTGATCTTGGCTGCTTTTCCCCCCTTCTGAAGCACACGGTTGGTTGGTTACTTACATGTGTAATGGCTGAGTACCTTTGAAGTTCAGAACTGACGCCTTACTCTTTGCGTTCTAGTCCATTTCAGTCCTCCTGGTGGCTTGTAATATTCTTTGCCTGTTGGTTGATGAAACAGCAATGCCGAAAGGAACAAGGGTAAAGTAAAATGCTTTAAAAGGTCTTTGTTTTGTAAAAGTATTGTGTATGTACCCTGAGTATTTCAAATAAGTAAATTAAAACATTCACTTCTCTGCATGTGTATACTTCAAGTTATATGAATTTCTTTATGTAATGAGCTTTATAAACAACAGTGCTTATAAACTATGACTTTTGTTTTCTAATTTCTTATTTTGGATTGGCAGGGCCTTTTATCGAGTGTCAGTTTTGTTTTAGACTTCCTATCAGAATTTATCATTGTTATATTGAAATTAGTATTTGTAATTCTTTACAAAAGTATATACGCTGAAATAGTGACATATGAAGAATTTATTAGATGCATTCATCGGGCTTGTGAAAGATCCATATACGTGGTTATAGGGACTCATGTTTCAAAAAAGAGTCACATATTTTAGGAAACTGAGTCTGAATGTTCACTTATGGGAGGAGAGTCGGATGTATATCCTTTCATGGGTTAAGTTTTCTCTTGTTTAAAATGGATGATTTTATTAAATTATGTTGATTAGCTTACTTGAATATATTCTCCATATAGAAGGTAGTTACCGCTAAATATTCATATTTGTCATCCTTTTTCCAGAGGTCTCTACAAGCTTCTTAATATTTAAAGTGGCATTAAAATTTTAACATTTGATTATATTTTTCTAAGTTGGCAGCTTTCCCATTCCTCATAGAAACGACTGTAAAACTTGCTGACTTTTGAGGCCACTTCTCTCTCTGGACCAGATGATACACCTTTCTTTTTCTTCAACAGAAAAAAGCCAGTATTGATCTTAATTCCTTCCTGTCCAGTCCATTCAGTGCAACACAAAGATGCCCTGTTCTTTCAAAGCTATTTTTTACAGCCATAGTTTCGATTTAGATCCCCTCACCCCCAACCTTTTAGGCCCTTGTGCCATCTGCTGCTGCCCTGGTCTGCCCACCAGTGTGAGCCTGCCGAGGTGGCCTGGTGCCTCACCTGCAAACAAACCATGCACGTCCTCCCCCATCTACAGCTTGGCGCTCTGACTTTGGTTCAGATGCAAATCTGCTGATAGAGCGAGAAGGCACCTACTGTATTGACTTGTGTGCACTTTTTAACCCACTCTCTTACGGTGCACACTAGTCAGGTCCAAAGCTCCATGGTACATTTGTGGGCACCCCTCAGTGCATAGCAGAGAGGGGCTTGCACCTGGTAGGCTGCTTGTGTGATGGCGTAAACGAATCTGACCATCTTAATCCTGCCTGGAGGCCTTCTCTGGAGACAGTGAATATTTCCAAAATGTTTTCCATTCTGGACAGCGTACTTTCTTTAGTATTATTCATTTCTTCTTCAAAAAACTGATAAAAAGTTGATAAATTCTTTACCTTTACCTTATTTAAATATCATAGGTATTCTTACTTCTTTATGCCAAAATTAGAATTATATATTGTATCTATGATATTTATTGGCTTATTTTGTAGTTTAACTATACATTCTTAGTTATCTTGGTGTTTCTGTTAGATGTGATTGAAGCTGGTAGTAAAATAATAGTTCATATTCAGATAGTTTCTTTAACTAGTAAGCTTTGAGAATACTGTTCCTCCTTTAGTAAGTAATGATGTTTTTGCCTGCTGGTCTTGTTAATAAATACTATTCTTATCATTTTTTTAAGGTCTAGATAACATAGGTTTTAAGAATAGGTATAATGTTCAGAAAAAATTTACAGCATTATAGTTTAAAAATATGTTAATTAAATTATATCTTTTAAAACTGATTCCCAAGGAAGATTTGGGGAAAGTAAACTTTCCCAGGGTTTGACATTGATTTTATGCTTATCTTGCTTTTGACATGCTTTACTTGTATAATTTTTATTTGTTGTCTCAGGTTTCATTCATATAATTATATGTTTTATTCCTATTGTACAATTACATTTTTAAAAATTTCTTGCAGTAATATTCAGAACTTAAGAATAAGCAATATCTATAACATTTTGTTAGACAAGTTACACATTTGAGATAAATCACAATGTTTCAGCATATTTAAATTGTTAATATGTGGTTGAATTAGTTGATGAACTCAGTCTAATATCATGTTTTACTGTCCTTGAAAGCTTATATATTTTTCCAGGTTATTAAACATTTCTAATTTGAACTGCCCTATATTTATTTATAAAACAATTTTAGGGAAACCAAATAGTGTCATTGAATTCTGAAAAGTGTTTTTTTCTCCCAGGGGCCTGGAATAGGAAATGCTTCTCTTTCTGCTTTTGGTTTTGTGGGAGCTGCACTCGAGATCATTTTGATTTTGTATCCTTTCTTTAACTGAATGTTCTGTCTGTTAACAAGTTTTCTGTCTAGTTTTCTGGGACAGCGGTAATTCACTAAGACACTTGCCTAGAAGATTAAAACAAGTCAGTCTTCCTCAAGCACTCCAAGTGGCCTTTTGTTGTGTTTTGTTTTGTTTTTCTCTTGGGCCTGAAGACTTTTTGGAGACTACTGAGAACTTAAGTAAACACGCATTCATTCTTTGGACAGTTTTTTCCTTGATTCTCACAGCTATCTTATGGTGTCCTCTGTTGTCGGTTTCTATAGCCTCCGATTTTTTGGAAACTTTATTCCCCAGAAAGATGATACAACCATGACAAAGGTAAGGTAAAGTCTTGAGTGACTACACCTCCTTCCTTTTTGCCTTCCAAAATAATGGACTGTTTTATTGGTAACCACCCTGAGTGGTTCATTTGCGGTGATAGTAGGTATTTGTTTGTAAATTGCATAAACACAAACTGGAAGATTTTCAAAATGCTGAATAAGTGGGAAAAGGATGTGCTCTGTTTAATTTGGATGGCGTCCATTCACTTGTAAATGCACAGAGATGCGGGGCTTGTGAACTGGCTGCAGAAGGCTCCTGAAAGGGCTCTTTTTCCTCTGCAGAAAACGTACTGCTAATGAGTAACTCTGATTGTGCGGACTGTACTTCAGGGAGCTTGTCTGAATCTGAAGAACTTAGTTGCTACAAGTAGTAGAGATAAGAGTATTTCAAATTTGAATAATTAAAGCAAGACGGAAGAGTTCTATTCAGAAACATTTTGTAGTTGGAGGCTAATTTGACTTCCTACAATGTGTTATTTGGCTTTGGAATAACAAGGGCTGCTATCTTACATAGTGACTGAATCTTTGTAAAATATTCCCACAGGCTGATGGAGAAGAATAATAAAGAGCTGCTTTCTTTTCTCTATTCCATGTTTTCAGTCTGTATTAATAGGGAGAAGTTATTTTATATATATTATCTATGCATAGAATGTTATGACTTTAAGATACTTGGCTGCTAGTTTAATGATTGTCAGTATTAATCCATATTTTAAGGTCCTTTTATTTGATAGGAAGAAATAAGCACGGGACATGTTGGAAATGATTTACTAGAATCTAAGTGTTTTGGATTTTTAACTTTTTGGTATTACATATATAGTTGAACATATTAGAAGTAGATACATATGTTGAGCAGTACTCTGGATTTAAATATAGGATCAGAAGTCTTGAATGTATTATTTTTTACTTGACAGGCAGATCTTTTTAAAATTGGCAGCCTCACTCAATAACAAAATACATTGTCTGAGGTATAAAGTAATTTAAGTGTTCTATAACTGTGTTTGTGCCAGGTACTGTAAGTATATTCTAGAGTTTATAAACTTTAAATGCTTATAGAAAAATTTTCTTATTCTCTTTAAATTCTATATTTAATAATATCATTAAGAAGTTAACAAAGTGTAATAAGTAACTAGATTGTACAGTAACTTCCTAGAATATGAATGGTTTTATTTATCGTCTTGCTGTTTAGCTGCCGGGGATGTTTCTGATTTCTCCTAACAGATCATTGGAAATTGTGTGTCCCTCCTGGTCTTGAGCTCTGCTCTGCCCGTAATGTCAAGGACACTGGGTAAGTGTAAGTGGGAGAATCTCACCTCAAGCCCGCAGCTTCTACACTTCTTTCTCAGCTTCCAGTTTCTGAACTTTTTCAAAAAGATCACCCTTATGAGGTGTAATACTTCTTCCCACATGGTTTTATACCTTTACTTCTCTGCTTCACTTATATATAGGGCTATACCTAAACAAGTACTTTTATCAAATAAAGGCCACTTGTTTTTTAACACTTCAAAATGTTCCTTCCCCAAACAATGGATGGTTTTTCCCACTGGCTAGTTATTCTTTGAGTCCTGTAGTGAAGAAAGTGGTTTTCAAAGAAATGTTTAATGTTTAGGGAGTATTAAACTAATTTTTCTAGTATGAAATGTTTTTAAAAACTTATGATGTAATATATGGTTTAAAAATTGATAATCTGTAAAACTTATTTTAAGCTGCTTTGTGTCCATGGAATGAGAGCCAGGCGATGTTTGCGGGCACATCCTCATCTCAGGGACGCCCTTCAGTCCTTCAGTTGTTTACTTGCCTGTCAGTCACATAATTCTCTTAATTTTTCAGTTTACAGAAAATTTTGGTCATCACTTTAGAAGTAAAACATAGAAACTTTGTCACTGAAATAGTTAAGTACATCTTCATTTGGCCTTATTTTTCATGAAGCACTGTATTCTCAGTTTGTGGCTAAATATTACCTCAGACAAAAATTTCAGTTAGTTCTATTGAGTTTTCTAGACTTAGGTTTAGGCTAAAGAGTGTTCACAAATGATTAGAAAAATCCCATCATTCAGCCTCAGCAACATGCTCTTAACAAAAATTGTAAGTAACTTAGGAGTTTTTTTGTTTTAGCTCGTCTGTTGCCTCCGTTGTTCATTTAAGACCCACAGCCGTCAGGGGTGCAGGCTGTACCCAGGAAGCATGAGCTTCGCAGTTACCTTCACGACTCTTACAGAGGATTTCTTGTTTTAAGCGATATCTGCAGTGTAAATGTAAAAACAACCTCTGTCCACAGACTGGCACCGGCTCATTCACTCAGTGGCCTTGCTTCTTTTGTGTCTGTTTTACAGGACTTGTCACTGTTTTGACATCTGCTTCTAGTGTGCTGATCTTGAAAATGCCAAAAATATGCACTTCAGTGACTTCATTTGTAGCTGAATGTTATGATTTGTAGTACGACAGTCCAGCAGAGAGTCCCTGTGGTATTACAGCTGTCCTGCCATTTTATCTTGTAGGAAACTCTCCCACTGTGCTTCATTATTGAAGATTAATTGTTAATAGTCATATATACTGATTGTATGGAAGAAAGTTACATGCTGAGTGTAGTTTTAATACAAAGAAAACAAATTAGTGGCAAAATTTGCTTTTTGAAGATCAACAAATTAAATTCCTGAGTAGTTTGCCATAGAGATAAATAAAAAGAAGATGGAACAATTAAAACGTAGCTAACAAATGCCTGGCCCCAGCTGTCCAAACAGGATTAATGGAGTGCATTAGGGAACGGTGAGTCATGTGGTGCTTTGCAGGGTACCAGCACGCACAGCACCGCGTGCTATGCCCAGTGGCACTGAATAGATGAGAAGAAAGAAATACGTTAAACAGATTCATAGAGGCTTTTCACAGTATAAAAAAGCAAATTTCTGGACTAAAAGAAGCAGCTTTATTTTAGTACTATGGGAATGCAAGCTACAGAGTTACTTTGTAATTCCTCTATTAACCCTTTAGAATTGAGTCTTTGATTTTAAGAAGATAAAATATAGAGAACGGTCATGAATATTATCCTAGTGTATAACGGGATTTTGATTTACTAGCTGAAAAGATTACATGACTAGAATAGAGGATGTACTCAACAACCAAATCCAAGCTGTGAGTTTTCCAGTCTTGTTCATTGTGCTTTGCCGGGAAATGCTGGCCTTGGGTGCTCGCGTTCCGTCACTGACGGTTAACTGAGAAATGAAACAGCGAGGAAAGTCACGATTCACCTGTGGATGCAGTGCTCTTACTTCAATAGTTTTTAGTGATTATTACTTTAATTGCGAATTAAAACACAGTGATCCTGTATAAAATAATCTGGTGGTATTTTGCCTTCAAAAAGAAAAATGTTTTATGAGTTTTTATGAGCTCTTCGTGCATCGAAGTATTCTGAACTAACCAAGTGCTTGGGGTGATGTGGCACATTTATTAAAGAATTCCTTTGAAATAGCTCTTTATATTTGAATGTGGAAATATTATGCTATTTGAAAAATTACCACGAAGTAGATTTTTATAAGCATATCACTTGCCACAAAGAATTAGTTTATGAGGAAAATTTTGGTCATGTATTTTTAGTCAAATGTAATTAATATAGACGATAGTGGTGTTGTTCATGGGAAACACAAAGAATCTGTGTGTAACATTTTTTATTCCAACTTTTTAAATATCTCTTTAAAAGTGATGCCACGCCAGTGGGTATGATTTCTAAAACATTATTTTGCTTCCTGTTCAGACTTCAGTTTTGAAGACTGCAGCATTTTGGGAGATTTGACATCCATATGCTTAGTAATCATTTGCTGTTTTGTTTAATAGACTCTCCAGGTGATTAGAGGAGGTGGTTGACAAACCAGGTGAGAACAGCCTAATAAATTACTTATGGGTGCCCAGACTTCCGTATAATAAAATATTTTAAATGTGGCAATGAATTTTTAAGAATAGATTTAGTATGAGCCGTGACAAGCTGTTTATGATGCTTAATCAAGAAACAACTGAGAGACTGACATTTTTTGCCTTGTTCTTTATTTAAAATCTCCTTCAATAGGGAAAAATTTTCTCAAGTGCAGCCAATAAACTTTGCAGTAATTTTACTAATTTCTATTTTAAAATTATTTTTATAGTTATTTTTTCATCCTGGGGTTCTTCCTGCAACTTGTAAGTTATTCAAGGCCCAAATGCAGAATTTAAAAAAATGTCCTTACTATATTAAAACAAAAATACTTATCCTTTCAAATCAACTTGAATTTATCACATACTTCTCATTTAGGACCCATATACAAGTTCTCTTTTGTTCCTTGGTGAAGGGACCCTGTTGTTAAAACCCAGCCCTTTTTGGAGAGATCTCTATTTGGGGTAAATACACTTTGGATCTTTACCCCGGGCTTTCCCTCTCCTGTTTTCAGTGTGAAACAGAAATAAATGATGCTTAAAAATGACAAATCAAAGTAGAAGTATAAATCACAACATATTTCTAATTATGACTTTGATGTAAAAATAACTCAGAGCTCCCTATTGAAAATTTCTCAGCAAAAAATTTGTATACAACTTATATTGCAGAAAGTAATAAATGTTACTAATTAACTTTTGTTTGATTACTAATGTTCTTATTTGAATTTGTATATCTAGTTAGGATTTTTAACAAAAATATTCTGTGTCAAATGTTTAAAAGAGTGAAGAGACTAGCTGATGCCCACCCCTCCCAGCCTCCTTTCCTGGTGTCTACTTGTGGTGCCCCTCGGACTCTGCTCTCCTTTCAGAGCATGTGGTCCTGCCTGAGAGAATGTCATGCTGACCCTGTGTGGTCTAAACAATTTAGCCACCTGTTGATGTACATTCAAATACCTTAAGTTTTAGTTTCTCATAAAATATTTTTTTCATAGGAAAAGAGTTCTAGTTAGGATCATTTAACTGGAAGGATCCTTAAGGTGTAATTTAAAAATTGTTAACAATTAAAACGTTATAGTTGGAACTAGACAGTAAACTATAAAGACCGTTAATCTGGCTGGAATACTTAATAGTGTGTGTGCCTGCCCAGTGCTGAGACTGATGAACAGATTATCTCTTTATTTGTAGGAAATTTTATTTTTAAGTTAATTTCAATTATATAAGGGTATATACATGAATAGATTTTCCTTGTAAAGAATAGTACAACTATAGATCAGGCTAAAATGTCTTGTGACTATATTCAAGCCCAAAACCCTCTTCAGTGCCTAGGAGCTAGTCTGATGCATGGCTTCTCCGACCCGTCCGTGTGCGTGTCTGCGCACGCGTACACAGTGCTCTCTGCGGGGACTGTCAGGCTCTCACCCGGGGTTGCTCTGGTGCCCACTCTTTCCTCAGCATTCTCCTTCCTTCTTTTGACCCCTAATTTCAGTGTGCTGCCCTGGGGGAGTTAAAAGAGGAGAAGGTTTTGAAATCATTTCCTCTACTGGAAGTCCTGTTGGCTGAAAATGAATTTCAACCCAAAACACTTAATTACCTCTTTCTGTTCGGGTCACTGTTGACCTTGTAATTGACCAAGCCTGTGGATTCCGTTTTTATCTTAATGCTCCATGGCATTTGCTGTCTGTAATCCACCTCCCAGATCTCTTCTTTCTTCATTTCATGTCACCATGCCCTTTTTTTCCTCCCCTGTCTCTGGCCATTCCTTAGCTGCTCCTCACCTACACGCACACAGTGTCCCAAAGCGAAATCTCAGTGTCCCAACAGCCATCCCTGAGCTAAGAGCGGATAGACATAGACAGCTCTGTACTCCAGGTGGGTGTTCTGCCCTCCCACCTGGCCCTTGCCACAGCCCTGCATATCTCCAGCCCCCGCCCACTTCGCCTCTCTCCCCGTATTTCCCTGCAGTCCTTGGGCGCTTCCTAATATGCCAAACCAGGAACCTTCTTGTACTGACACCGAGTGGCCATACTGTTTGCTCTTGTTAACATTTCCCAGGCTTATGTTGTGCTTCCTAATTTCCCCAAAAGGTGAAAAGAGACAGACTTGTATGGCTTCAAAGCGGAGCTGACGGTATGGTTTTGTTTTGATACTTCATTGGGAGGGAATGTTCATGAAGTAGATTCTGAACAGGTGCTCTTTTCTTTCAGGAGGGTTGAATAAGAAATGGAACCAAAACAAAAGAACTAAGGAAGTACTTAATTTTCCAAGTGAGGGTGTGTCATTGAGGGCTTGTGGAGACTGTCTCTCTGGAACTTTTCTTCCAGTTACTCTCCGATTTGGGGGCTTAAACTTGCATCTGTTTGAAAATTAGGATTTAGGTTCTTTCCTGAA